AAAAAAAAAAAAAAAAAAGGAAAAGAAAAAAGAAAGAAAAAGGAAATGAGGTTTTTGGCACCAGCTGGGCCACAAAACCGTTTTTGCTTCTGACGATGGAATGCTGATCTGTTGCCATCTAGGAAAGGCATCCAGATGGCACACCTACCTGGAAGTGGTCCCACGAAGACACTGAGCAAGTGTTAAAATGAGTGAAGATTCAGTTCACTACCCAGCTATTAATCAATTTTAAATCCATTTCGTTCCTCTATACCAAAGAACTCTAGGCATTGTCAATAAACTCTAAACATGAAATGTTTGATATAACACCACATCCTAAGGAAGAATGAGTAAAATGGTAGCCTGAAAGCAGAAATGGTAGCCATGTTGGAGAAGTTAAGGGAAGTAGACCAGTGGTTTATTTGGTTGGTGTTTGTCAATCTATCGATACTGGAGAGGCTGAATCTTGAACTGTTGTGTTTTGTTGTATCAGAGGAGTACGTTTGCAGCGGAGTCAACAAAAGAGAGGTTGGCATGGGAGCATGTCCTCAAGGAAGTGTGCTTCAGTCATTATCTTGAATTCCAGCTCACATGGGGCTCACATGTGGCTCAGTGAACTACAGGAGGGGGCAGAACAAGCCGCAGGAGAGAGTGCCTGTCCAGACACTGCCTGCCAGGAGTAATTATAGCATTATGTAATTCTGTGGCCTCATAATCTAAGGAATTTGAATCACCCCACTAAAGAAAATATTGGTAGACTGAAAGCAGGTCTGGGTACTAACGGAGTACCTGGCTGTTCACAGGGAAGGGATTCACTACAGACCTGACTGAGGTTGAACTGCAATGATCGGAAAGCTTCCACACTGCAATTGCTAGCCACACCTCTTGTTATCAATGAGACTTAACAGCCCATGCTAAAACCAGCAGTCATCCAAAAAGCATACTATACATTGTTGGCTGGTATCCAGAAACTACTGCCCTCCAGTGGGCCAAGTTAGACTGCATTATTTGTAATGTACCCCCTCAAACTAATTGTTAGTAAACCAAACTTTCACGCTTTGAAGAGGTATTTTTACCATCTTAAATTATTGACTAAGTTTGGCTTACATAGGAGAAACTAATACTCATGAAATCCAAAGACATTTTAGCTTAGTTACAGCTGATGGCCTGTATTCTAACCTGCCTCTTAAATAAACAAAGAATAATTATCTCTATCCATCAAATAGTAAATAAACTCATTCCCAAATGCTCTATTTACCTGTTCTAGGACGTGTATATTTAACATGTGTCATTTTCCTGCAACAGTTGCCCAAGAGGGCTTATTACTGTGGTAACACAGCATGACTTCCATTCAGATGCCTGTAGTGGAGGCCAGTTCTTTCCTGCAGCCCTTGCTTTTCATTGGGGGTCCAGGGGATTCTGGCTTTCCGAACAGCACGTTCCTTCCTCATGGCTGCAGAGATTGGTTTAGGGGCAGGCACCTGACCTAACTAAGGGTAAGAAGGGCGGGTCTCAGGGTCTTTTTTGGGAATGGTGGGATGCTCCCTTTCGTGATGAACATAATGAAGAGCCATATGGCCCCAAGAGCTGCTGACAGACATCTTGATACCACAAAGAGAGCCAGCTTTAAATGGAGCTGCCATACTGGAGAGCAGTCCAGAGTGATGGACAGAAGCTCAGTCTTTGGCGGCATCACCAAGCTGTTGACCAAGCCTCGCCCAAAGTCCCTACCCATGGACTTTTCACTGGTCTAATTGTTTAAGTAAGCTGAGTCAGGTTTTCTGTTACTTGCAGTCAAAAGCACCCTGACTGATGTGGTATAAGCATTGACCATGAGTATAAACATCAAGGAAGAAGGTGCCTATAATGTAAACTTATAATGTAAAAAACTTATGTAAAATAACATTCCATTTTAATGCCTTCCAAACTACTATTTAAGTTTGACTGTGGTAGCGAACTTATCCCCTTTCCATCCCTATAAGTTTCTCCCTATTTGATCATTCCTATCAGAATACAAACATGCTGCATTATTTTCTTTTTTAAAAATTTGAAAATTTTTTTAAATTTCAAAATATTAAGGGGGTATAAATGTTTTTTTACATAGATACCTTGTATAATGTATTTATTATATCTTCCATTTATTTTTTATTTATGGTTTGGTATTTGTATTAGTCAGATCTGCTGCAGTAACAAATGACCCTAAAAATCTCAGTGGCATGTAACATTTCTTTATTTTTCACTTATATTACATTTTGGTGACTGTGGGTTGGCTGCAGCTCTTCTCAATATCTTACCATTCTAGGATCCAAACCAACAGAGAAACCCCTGTTTGAGTCAGGGCAGAGGAAAAAGCCAAAAACTGGTAGAAACCAGCAACACAGCTTCAAGCTTTAAGCCACCTCTTAGAACTCCTACTCCATACTGGCCCACTGTCACTTCTGTTCACATGCCATGGCCCCAACCAAGTGACCACACCTCACAACACTCTGCCTACTGGGAGACACTCCAAGTCACAAATGGCAGTGGGCAGGGATGTACTATTATAGGGAAGGGAAAAAATAATACAATTTACTGCAGACTTGGAGAGATTTCTTCCCATGGGTGTCAGTTTGAGTTGTGGTTGAAGATTGGAGGTGAGAAAAAAAGAAAAACTCTTTCGATTATTGTATTGAAAGAAAATTGGATAAAAAGATAATACAAGATAGGGAGAGACATAAATTGAATGAGGTCTCTAGAGTTAATTTTAGCAAACTATATTGGGAGTTCTTTACAGGCAGAGACTGGATCTAGCTCATGGTTTATAGCTCCTTCAGGGCGACAGTGCACACTGGACTCAGCCAGTCACAGCTGAGTTAACCTTATTACCTTTAGAATGTAGAAATAGTGAGTCCTCTATTCAAATGCAGCAGAACAGTCTTATCCTATTGACTGTATGAAAAGAAGATTCTAACTAGTGATGAAAATGAGGTTCTTGGGCTCAGCACAGTGCCTTACACCTGTAATCCAAGCACTATGGGAGGCTGAGGCGGGAGGATCACTTCAGCCCAGGAGTTTGAGGTTAGAGTGAGCTATGATCACACCACCACACTCCAGCCTGGGCAACAGAAGGAGACCCTATCTCTAAAAAAAAAAAAAAAAAAAGGAAAAGAAAAAAGAAAGAAAAAGGAAATGAGGTTTTTGGCACCAGCTGGGCCACAAAACCGTTTTTGCTTCTGACGATGGAATGCTGATCTGTTGCCATCTAGGAAAGGCATCCAGATGGCACACCTACCTGGAAGTGGTCCCACGAAGACACTGAGCAAGTGTTAAAATGAGTGAAGATTCAGTTCACTACCCAGCTATTAATCAATTTTAAATCCATTTCGTTCCTCTATACCAAAGAACTCTAGGCATTGTCAATAAACTCTAAACATGAA